CGGGTAAGTGGAATCCTGCCATAGAGCCTATTCGAGAATAGGGGTAAGAGGTACATAAAGAATTTAAGTGTGTGGTTTTATCGTATCACAAAATACTCCTATAGTATTTTAAGTTTAGAGGTTCTTTGTATGGTTTATTGGTAATTTTAGACTCGTTGTTCACTACGATCATTCCTCGGCATACATTAGTCACATCCTGGATAAATATAGTTGATCAGACTATATTCATCCCAGATCTGATTACATACCCCGAGACCTACTCGTAGTGTTCAACTTATCTTAATACTTTTTGTTTTGTTATTGCTATGACACCTAACTAGTAAGTATGAGTGTACTTACACTTTTATAAAAATATCATAATATTTTAAAGTATACTTGTACGAAAATGTTACTTCATTGGGTTTTTGTCCGATTGTATTTATAGTTTGTATATCATATGTGGTTTGATATACTTATTTCACTATAAACAATTCTCTGATACCAATCTGTCACACCCCCGAACCAGGATAGCGGAAACGTCCGGGGGTGGATGACTTTCATGTATTGTATCATAACAGTTGAATAATAGTAAAGAAAGCAAACACAACCATCATATATTATATATATATATATATATTATATATATATATATATATATATATTTTTTTTTTTGAAAAAGTTACATCATTGTAAATGTTACATGTTCCAAAAATCAATTACAATATGATGTCAAAAGATTTGTTTGATGTCTTAGCGTCCCATCCTCAAAAGCTGTTGATTACCTCTTTTACTGATTTCCTGAGAATACAAGTTGTTTGAAAAAGGGTCACCAATTAAGTTGGTGAGTTCCTAAGAGTTTATATGAAAAATAGTAAGCCTTTCCGTGAAAAGATATCGTGTTTGTTTCCAGAAAATCCGATATTTTCTTATAAATGAGATGTAAGCCGTTCACTTGTAAAATGATAGTGTTTATTCCAGAAAATCCAATATTTTCTAATAAATGATATGTAAGCCGTTCGCTTGCAAAATGATAGTGTTTATTCCAGAAAATCCAATATTTTCCGTAGAAATGAGTTGAAGTCTTAAATGTTCCAAGACCGAAATGTACTAGTGTTTTCCGTACTTAAAGTAGTGATATGTAGTTTTATTCATGTATAAAACCATTTGATGAAATGTGTTTTCGTGTAAATTTACGTATAGTCGTTTCCCCATGTGAATTTTCATAACCGTGCTTTTAAGATGTAGTGTCTGCCTCGTCGTTCTTCAGGGACCGAGATAGTTATGACATTTGTCACCCATAACCTGCCGGTCTGACTGTAGCTAGTAGTCAGGGTGTGGGATCATCAGTCCCGTATAAATCTATACACAAGTATCACGCTCTCGTATCGAAGATTCCGGTTATAAATACAGGACTTTCTGTATACCTCAATTAGGTACGATGAAGATAATGTCTCACAAATTTATTCAAAGAGTATACGTGTTTTTGAAATGAAAACGTCTGTATATGAAGTTATCCCATCTTTCCAGGATAATATCGAAAATTTCGTAAAACAATTATATATGTACTTTATATAATTTTACCCTTTGCTCAACGGGTTACAAAGGGGTAAAGTTTCGTAAACTTTATCTATAAAGTTTTAATGAAATGTACGTTCTGTAATCAATATATATATATATATATAATATATATATATATATATATATATATATATCTATAAGAATAATGAAATGTATTTTTGTAACCGTTTTTTCATATCTTCACGTTTTTATCCAAAACGTTGTATGTAAAAATATATAGGTTGGTAGTAAAACCGTTTCGTGTATTTAACACTTTTCATAAAAATAGTAAAGTAACATATTTAAAATGTTTGCTTTATAACGAAAATATCATTGTGTGTTACTTGTATTCCCCCCCTAAGAGATAGAAAAAGTCATGCAAAAAAAGTAGGGGTACGAACTCACCTTATGTGTAGTCGCGGTTAGAGGACGAGATAAACACGGTGACTTCTTGCTAGAACACGGGAAGCTAGTTGTATCCTAATTGTTTAAACACATTTTAATGTGTGAACATATGAAACTATAAATGAAATGTATTAGAATAACACTACATTAGATGTGAAATTCTTACAACTATCCTTGATTTCTATTAACCACTGTGAAGATAAAAGCCTCCTAGAGTGTTTGAATATGAGTATTGAAAGGAAATGGGTTTTGAACTTGAGAGCAAATGCGAAGATTTCGTTTACTGGAAATGGGTTTGGAGAATGCCTCTAAATCTTGTATATATATGAAGAAAATGAGATAAGGTGAGTTGATGTTTGCATTGAAATGTGCACTTATCACCTTGGGAAAGTAAATCAGCTAATCAAATTGCACACTAGTGGGCCAAGTAGGTGATTTCTTTAGGATTAAGATAATACAATATCTTTATAATTTTATGTAAATGTGTTTTAAGGCTTCATTTTAGCATAAAATAGGAGTTTATAGGGTCTAAGTTATGAAAAATACGAGTTTGAGGGAATTCCCGACGTCAAAATCTCTTAAAATGACGAAAAAGTCCGAAATGGCCAAAAATTACGGAGTGGGTCCGAAGCAAGAAGATGTTCCGGAGACAATTCGCATGTTCCGGAGTCAATCAGCAGCTTCCAGAGTCGGAGGTGCGAAGTCAGCTTGTTTTCGGAGTGGCTTCCTTCCGAAGCTGCGAGGGTCCGAAGTCGCGAGATTGTCCGGAATGGGAAGGCTTCGAAACAGTGGGAAGGTCCAAGATGCGAAATTGCCCAGTTCCTTAGAATGTCTGAAGTAAATCAAAGTTTTCGGAGTCAGAAGTTCCGGAGTCAGAAGTGTTCCGGGGTGAGAAGTGTGATTTTTGTTATCAAGAGAGATTTGGGAGAGAGGGGGATTTGGGAGAGATTTGAGATATAGAGAGATATTTGGGAGAGATTTGATATAGAGAGAGATTTAGGAGAGATTTGAGATAGAGAGAGAGATTTGGGAGAGATTTGAGATAGAGATAGATTTGGGAGAGATTTGAGATATACTTTGTATTATATTTGCAAGACATACATTAGGAAACATAGTTTAAACCCTAACGTATTAGTACAAGTCGAGTTGACTTGTTGACTTTGTTTGACCTAAATTTTGACGGTTGTCACAATCTGCAAGTGGCACGTGGCACAATCCTGACCGTTACTTCTTTCCCACGCCTTTCCATCAGATGATGACATCTGGCACCTCAACACGACGTGTTGGGCTCAGTAACACGACGTGTTGAGCCATTTCCAGCCTATAAATAGAGGCGCAAATCATCCCATTTCTTCACACCTTTCCACTTCTCTTCTCCCAAACACTCCCAAAGCCTCAACGCTTTTCTCTAGCCCTTCTTAGGAGTTAGAGGCGAGTCCCAGAGCGCCAAAAGGCTCCGAGAAGAAGAGCTTTCGGCTCAGAAATTCTGCCCGCGCGGAGCCCGATTCTTCGCTAAACCCCCTTGTAAATAAGTTATGCTTACCCTTCTATAAGTATAGCTTATGTTTAAGTTCATTATCGTTATTATGGACCTATAAACAATATATGTAAGTATTATAAAATATACAAAGTGTTATTATAAACATTTTAACTGCTCGCGGTACGGGAAATCTGGTTTGAAGGGCCACATAGGGTTGTTGGATTTCAGAACAGCTTAAATGCCAAAATGGTCCTGGCCTCCACTGTTTCATGTCTGGCCCCTGTCTGTACATAGTAGTTGAAAAGTATTGTTTAATAATTATAAAACAATATCGTTCGTAGTCGCAATAGATATTAGACTAAAACTTAGCAATAATAATTCTAGGTTTCGTCGAAGGAAAAGACAATTGTTTGAAGTGAAGCTCTGTCCGAATTACGAGTCATCACTTTAACAAGTGAGTGCATAGTTACTTTCATCTTACACATTGATATGAAGTATTTAATATAAATAAATGATATACGCACTTATTATTTGTGTTCCTGATATCTATGCTGGATGAACGATTTATACATGTTTACATGATTTAAACTGTATATGTATTTTTATACTTATAAATATGTATTGGGTAGCGATGGGTGATGAGAGATAGGTGATGATAGAAAGGTGATGATAACTAGGTGATTATAGATAGGTGCTGATAAATAGGTGATGTGAGATGAGAGGAGATGCCAAAACCTTGATCTGCAATGTTGCGATGTAGTCATCTACCAGAGTATAGATGGCGACCACTGACTAATCCAAACAAGTCATGTGGAAACACCAGCAGGCTCATAACCTGTAGGTAGGCCTGGAAATGGAGCGGGTTTGGAGCGGACCAGCCTTGATCCAAACCCTTTTAACAAATTTTAAAAGATGATCCAAACCCGCTCCGTAACCCACATGATTTTGAATAATCAAACCCATACCCTTATCCACCGAATCAACGGATATCCAAACCCGCTCCGTAACCCGCATGATTTTAAATAATCAAACACATGAATCGCATTTTACTTAATAATTAAAAATAACATTTCTTAAATAAAATAAATGTGTAGTACAACTGAATACTTCAAATAACATTTCTTAAAAAAACGAATGTCTACTATAGCAAACATGCATGACAAAACGTAGACCTAGAGATGCATCTACAAAAAATCAAGAATCCGACCATTCAACTCACTGAGCACTTGTACAAAAGTAACCACATACAAGTAAATATTAAGTGATTTCAAGTAAAAAAAATTAAGTGTCTTCTAGAGTTAAAGCAACATACTTTTTTGTTTTCTCAAGGGTAGCCAATCTTGTGTAGTCACCAATGCCTCTACAGTTTTAGGTACCAAGGATGAACGACATTCGTCAATTATTCTTCCTCCACTACTAAATGTTGCCTCAGATGCAACACTATTTGTCGGAACGGCTAATATGTCACGTTCGATCTTTGCAAAGAGTAGGATGTTTAGCACTATTGGCTTTCCACTAATCTAGGACATCAAAAGACTCACTTCTTGGAAATGAAGGTTCTTATAAATAAATCTCCAACTTAGTTTTTGCTTGTAGCAAATACATTAGATTTCTCTTTTTCATACCAGGAATCAAATCCACATAACTCATCATCAGAAAAGTGTGCCTCACTTGAAAAACCACGAAATTTTGGGCTTGATTCTTCTTTATAGTGAGATAAGTACTCATCATACTCATTGAAGAGCTCCAACAAAGCACTATGAACTTTTTCAACATATGAAATAGCAAGAGAACCGTGGATCTTATTATAGTAGTACTCAACTAAACTTATTTTGTACTTGGGATCAAATACAACAACTGATAAAACCAAGGAACATTCATTCCAATATTTTTCAAACTTAATCTTCATTGGGTTGGCCATCTTACGCAAAAATTGATATTCATTGGTTTCCCACTTCATCATTTGCAACTTAATTTTACAAACATCAGAAAAGAACATATTTGAAGTAGGATAAGAAGAACCAGAAAACCGATTTGTAGCTTTATACAAGTGCTCTAAGCAATCACTTATAACTTGGGCAACTTCCCACCCCTCTTTAGTTGGATGGAGTTTATAATTATCATCTGTTTGTGCTAAACGCCAAAATAGATCTTTCATCTCCAAAGCACTTTTAATCATCAGAAAAGTAGAATTCCATCTAGTGGGGCAATCCATTTTTACTTTTTTTATCCTTAATCTTGTAATGAGCTTTCGCATTATTAAACTTTTGTGTTGCAAATGGAGAACGCTTAAGATATTTTACGGTTTCTCTTACCTTTTGAATGAACGCACCAATAACTTTTAAACCATCTTGAACAACCAGATTAAGAATATGAGCACTACAACGAACATGAAATAATTTACCATTCAATGGGATTGCAGACCTGTCACAAAGCCAACCTCTCAAGGTCCTCACCATTGCGTCATTGACACTAGCATTATCTAGCACCATGGAGAAAAACTTTCCTTTAAGCTTCCAATCTAGTATGCACTCAATGATTAGCCTAAAAAGAGTCTCTGCATCATGAGGATAATCTATACATCTATAAGCAAGTATTTTGTTGGTTAAGATCCAATCCTAATCAATAAAGTGAGATGTTAAACAAATGTATCTGGTATTTTGATGATCAGCTGTCCAAATATCAGTCGTAAGAGAAACTCTGCCAGGTAATGTTTCAAGGTATGTATATAGTTTCTCTTTTTCAATTTTGTGAACACGAAGTATATCAGACTTTACGGTATTTCTACAATGAAGATGAAAGTTTGGTTGAAGACCCTTCACAAAATGCTCAAAATACTCATGTTCACGCGTGTTAAATGGATAGTTGTGCTTGATCAACATTTTTGCAAAATCCATCCTACTTTTCTCTTCATTGAACTTGAAATTTTCAATTACAACCGAATCATCAGAAATACTTTTCTTGGTGGATATCATATATTGAGCAATACCAGTTCTGTTTTTGCTATTGCATCTAGTTAAATGATTTCTCAAGTGGGTTGTTCCAGATTTAGAGCCATCAACAAGTACCTTATGACAATGCTTGCATTTGGCACCATCACTCCCATTTTTCTTCTTTTATTTTATCAAAGCCTTCCCACACATCAGATGTTAATTTTCTTTTCTTGGCAAAACTCTCATCTTTGTCTTCAACATTCTGTTGAGTTTCGGCATCTATGTCTACAACATTCTGAGTACCATTTGTTCGCATATCATTATCACCCATCTTGCATTAAAACTGATAAAGCAATAAGAAATCATATAAATATATTAGCAATAGTAAACAATAAGAAATATGGCAATCACATATTCACAGGAAGAAAAAATCATGTATTTGATCTAATTCCATAAACAAGCAATAACCAGTAGGGTAAATTTGATCAAATCCAATATGAACCTAATTTCAATTAGAACGGTATAACAATGAAAGAAAGGGAAACAACCATTTCAGTTTAGAAACTTTGTTTATGTTTTTTTTTTCAAATAATTTCGACATCAAAGGCATTGCTGTATGTTTAATACATCGACAAATTGAATATGAAATTGATTACGTAATGTCCATTATAAACCTCAAAAGTCGATTCCAATTAGAATGGGAAACAACGATTTCAGTTAGAAACCTCAAAACTCGATTTCAGAAAGTTAGAAAACCAGCTATTGTAGTCGATTTCGGTCAAATAGAATATGAACCTGATTAAGTAATGTCGATCACTGGAGTCGAAGTCGATTGCAAAAGTGATGACGAAGTCACGCAGATTTCAATTAGAAATCAATTTAACAAAACAACTATCGGAAGGAATCAGAAATTTAGAACGTAAAGACTTAAGTATACAGAGCCGAGAATATGTCCTCGAGAATGTCTCCTCGATTCCAGGACTCCTTCCTATCCTGTAAATGGTAAATGGTAATTAACAAAATAACAAATAGAAATCATAAATATATAATATAAATAATAAATTTATATTATTAAAATATACACGGGGCGGGTTATAAACAGATCAGATCGGTAGTGATCCATACCCGACTCTTTAAATAAAAGGATTAACGGGTACGAGTCGCTAACGGGTAAACGAATCACAAATCACAATCCAAACCCTTATAATTTTTACGGGTTCGGATCGGATCAGGGTCAAAACCCGCTCCATTGCCAGGCCTACCTGTAGGTGATGAATTACGAGTTCAGACGATGTTGTAACTACGTATTCATGCGATGATACTCTAATCCTTACTGGACACGTATTGGGTGAGTAATCCCCGAATCAGTACTGTCTATGCGATGTAGGCGACGATCCTTAGGAAAAGTCCTTAGGAACAAACATATAAGGAAATGCGATGTAAGGAGATGAGAGGTGAATACGATGTAGGAGATGACCCTTAGGATAAATCTTTAGGGAAGATTAAATGAAGAAAATGGGGATGGGTAATCGGGTTAATTTTTTGACATGAAATATGTGAAGAAACAAATTAACTATATTATTGTGGGTTGAAAACCCTATGTACTCACCAGGTTTCCTAACTTGACCCACTCAGTTTATATGTATCACAGGTATAGATACGAAGACACATTACACTAAGAGATTAAAGGAGATGTAAATCATTAGTGTAAATGAATGTAAGGTCTGTTTATGCATATGTTTATGTATTGACAATAACATCCCAAAGTTTTAATATAAACAAAATACATTTCTTCAGAAATGCTTTGATAATCTATTTATCATGTTTTCTGGGAACAGATTCCGCAAAATTATTCTTTAAAATGAATACTTTGATTTTTAAATAAGCATAAATAAAATTTTTAAAATGACCGTGAATTTGGGGATGTCACACCGGCCACAGAACGAACAAAGGAGGAAAGCGGTTTGTAGTCGATGGTGATGGGCGGATGGGGTGGAGAAGCAGTAATATGAACAATTGATTGGGTCATCCTTCAAAAGTGAAGTGTAATCGAATGAAAGGAGCGGAGATATATGGGGTAGAAGTAAAGCAAGAAGAGAATCGACGATGAGGAGAAATGGTGGTATCTATTGTGGGTATTGAACTGAAGCGAGGACGGATAGCGGTGATCGGTGGAGTTAACCACGGCTGAGGAAACTAACCCATGAACAGTCGACTGAACCCTAATCGAATTCAAAAACCCCTCTGGGGTCGATCTATGCCCTCTATGCAAGGAAGAAAGAGAATGAGTTGTGGATGGAAGTGACTGGAAGGTCGTAAGAATTAAAGCGGTGATGTAAGGAGAATTAAAGGGGATGCTACTTGTGTAAGCATCTTATTAGAGAACAAAACGGTAGAGAGAAGAAGCGGACAAGTATTGTTCAACCACCACCTCATTTACCATTGACCAGGGACGTACATCTGGCCACAACTAAAAAAAAAAGAATTAGACCAATAGGAACATGAGGGTAGAAAAGAAAAAAAAAATAAGGAAATGACTAATATGAAAAACCAATAAAAGAAAATTGAACATATGCAAATAGGTAAACATGTGGACCATAGCTGTCAAAAGGCCATCAATTTTACTGTTTCTATGGTTGACCTTCTTTATATATATATATATATATATATATATATATATATATATATATATATATATATATATATATATATAGGGCTAGGTTATTTTGTTTTTGCTAAGTATTGTGTGCTTGTGTAAATGATTCTAGGCCAATCGTTTGTGGTAAATTAAGAAAGTGATTACTTTTAAAATTAAATAGAAAAAAACAAATTAATAGGATTTCATTAAATGACTGGGCACGGAAGGGTAGTATGGTACATTGCCTCGTCATTTTAATAGGAAACGGTCGATAACTATGGAAGTGATCCACCGATAATCCCAAATATCTCGCATACTATCAAAATCAAAAACCCAATGCTTTCAGAGATTGACACATATTCTGATTTTCTATATTCAATCTTCAAAATCGGAAGATTCTTCGAAGGTTTTTAATATAAATATCGACATTAAACCCTAGAAGACGGAATCAACATTTGAGGGCTTCTGTGAACTTTATTTTGTAAGAATGAGGAGTACACGATCGACTTCATTCAAGTCGAAATTCAAGAACACAAATAAAGACAACCTTGAATCTTGAAGATGGCGATGATGATTTCATTGCGGAACCTGAAGGTAAGAATTTTTTGTTTTATCTGATGTTTATTGAGTTCGAAGATGTATTATAGTGTAAGAAGTGTATTTAGAATAATTTATGCATGTATGATTTGTGTTTTGCAAAAAGAAGGTGTGATTGTCGTGTAATTTCTTAAGAATAATTACTAATTATTAGATTATGCGTTGATGTGTAAAAAAAATCTGGTAGAATGAAATAGCTTTCGGTGTTATTCTGCTAGAATGTTCCATTCATATAAACGTGAAGATGTTTTTTATTCTCTTAGAATAAATCAAGGTTGCAGAAAACGTTAGACGTTAGCTAGTCGGTGGACTGGGGTCTAGGGATTAATCGGCTAGACGGGGATTAATCGGAGGATTAATCGGGGACCATTAATTATTAAGAAAATTATTCAAAAGTTTATAAATCTAACTTTAATTGTAAGAATATAAATAAATAAGCATAAAAGTTTAATAATAAGTTTAACAAGCACCACAATTTATCATCCAATTAATAAGAAAAGTTATGCAAATTTTAATATATCTTAAGAAAAGAAGTAATTTGGGTATTTGTATATTTGAAAACATAAAATTTTAAAAATTTTGGAGAAAAACTTTAAACTTTAAATTTTTTAAAATTTTTTTTATATATTAGTTGAACATTGAAATACTATGAACTTTTGAAAATTTGAAAATTTTGGTTTAATATTTAAAATTTTGAAAATTTGAAAATTTGGCCGATTAGGCCGCCTGGGACCGATTATAACCGCCTAGGACCGATTAGAACCGTCTAGCTCCGACTTTGACTCCCTTTGACCAAAACCGATTAAGCCGGCCGATTAGCCTTAATCCTATTCGGTTGAAGACCGCCTAACGATTAATCCCCGATTAATCGGCCGCCTAGACCGATTTTTACAACACTGGAATAAATCATGTTCTTGTATGATATAAAATTATAAAGAAATTTATGTAAATAAGGAGTTAAGTAGCATGGTATAATGATTTTAGATTCTATTGGAATCAAAGTTTGTATATGAGTAATGAATTAAACTGAAACATTCAAAATTCTTA